AATGAGCACGTACAGGAACAAAGCCCCACGGAGATCCAGGAGTACAGACCCACCCAGGAGCAGGGGAACACTGAGAGGAATCCTGTCCCTGCCCCAGCCAATCCTCATCCCTGCACGTGCTGCCAGGGCCAGTCCGTGCTGGGACTGGGGATGTTTCCCCCTGCATTCCACCCAGCACTCAGCGTTGGCTCTCACAGGGCTGGACCAGCTCTGCAGCCGGGCAGAGTGTGGGAGGAGGGTGCCTGTCCTGCTTAGGAAACACAAAACAATAAAAGAGGAACAATGGAGCTTCCTTCCCGTCCCCCCAAATACCAAACGCCACCAGAACGTGGCACAGCTCCAAGCAGAGCTGCTGTGTCCCCTGGCCCGAGGGAGGAACTGCAGACACCTCCTCCTCCTCCTCGTGCTGGCAAAGGATGCTGTGGAAGGGCAGGTGCCAAGGAGCATCGCCAAAGGGCTGGTCTGGCCTGGCACTGCTGCCAGCAGCATTCCCAGCTCTGGAAACTGCATTTGGGCCGGGGCAGGGGGCTGCAGTGTGGCTGAGCCTTGGGAGAGCATTTTGAGAGCTGCCTGGACTTCCAGGGCAGCTGAACACGTGTCACAGCCACCCCAGGGGCCCAGGAAGGGTTATAAACACATCCAGGTACCCAAACTTGCCAGACTGATGTCAGGCAGAGAACCTGGTCCCATGGGCTTGGTACCCACATGGTGCCAAGCACAGGTTGATGCTCAGCCAGAGCTGGGAGTCCTGGTGGGATGGATCACGCCTGGCTGTGGTGGGTGCTCAGGGACATGGGGCCAGAGCCCCCTGAGGGGCTGGGGCTGTGCCAGCCCATCCCTGCCAGCTCTGCCCACACCTTGGCTGCTGAGGGCAGCCAGCCCCGAGAGCAGCCCTGTCCCCAGAGCTCGAGCCCCGCGGGTCACACGTCCTTCGCCCGGCCCAGGCCAGGCACATCTGGCTGAAAGCTGTGGGAGCTGCCCCAGCAGTGAGGACACCAGCCCGGAAACACTCCCTCCCGGAAAGATCCCCCTGTCCCATCCAGGATCCTCTCCCAGCACCGTCCCTGCCCCTTCAGAGGGTGCTGGGCCGTGGGGTCTGCGAGGAGATGGTGCCCAGGGCTGCCACCTGCCCTGGTTTGGGTGGCAGGAGCAAGGCCGGGAGCTCTGCTTCCCACTGGTGAGAGGAGAAAGGATTGCTCAGCTCCAGGATGGTGTGGGAGTGGGGTGAGGGTGCTGCAGGCTCGGGGCAGTGCGGAGCGTGGCTGGGCTCGCTGCCAGCCCTGCTGCCCCAGGCTGTGTGGGTAGAGCAGGGTGGCAGCCCCAAACCCCAGCAGGGGCGGCCAGGCTGTCCCCACGCTGGGGACATGAACCGCTTTAAACCCTTGCACTGCACCCCAAGTCACACACGGACTTCAGCTCCTGCCAGGGCTCTCCATCAGGACAGCAGCCAATGTCCCACTTTCCTGCAGGAGGGAACAGTGTGGAGGAGTGCAAGAACTGGAAAAGCTCCTTCCACCTCCACAGGCACCACTGCAACTACAGCTCCTGCATCCTGTTGATGTGGGAGCCCAGGATGGGGCCGGGACGTGGGGGATACAGGGCCCATCTGCTGCTGTGACAGGGGGTGGGGGTTACAGGGCCCATCTGCTGCCAGCGCAGGGTGCTTGGGCTGGCTGAGGGCACAGAGGGGGCACACCGGGCTGGGCACACAGGGCCGGGCACAGCGTGGGCTCCCCCAGCACTGGGGTGCCGCAGCTCTCCCACCCGCGTCCCTCCTAGCCTCGTTACTATTGTCATCTCCAATACCACGCAGGGATGTGAGAGGCTGAAGTCGCCTCTTTTCCTGCCAGGTTAAATCGCTCACCAGGAATGTCTATTATTCCCACAAGTCAACTTTCCCCTCCGCGGTATGTGTCAGGGGTCAGGGCTGGCACCACATGAAAGCGCCGGGTATTCAATAACCGAGAGCCGCGGAGAGGCTCCGCTCCAAGCCCAGCCACGTTGGGGTTTATTGATGCAGATGCCTTCCCCATTTGTTTCCTATAAACACCACATGGTAATATTTAGTAGGTTTCAAGCAGAGCTCTTTGCATATTCTCCCCCGTCTGCAGCGAGCCGCGCGGTAGTAGACAGTTTTAATTTACTTAATGCAATTTCTGCTTTGTGTTTCTTCCAGAAGGTCTGGGCTGGTTTTGACCCAGTCGCCCCAGCAAATTGCTGCAGCTCCCCAGGGGCTGGGAGCAGGAGTCTGGGGTACACTCCCTGCAGGGGGAGGGCATAGGACCCTGCTCCCCCAGACCCTCGGAGAGCGGTGGCAGGACCTGTGTGCTGTTAGGGGCCATCCTGGCTCCTGCTGCACGGGATGCTCGCCACCTCCAGCCAGACTCCATGGGAAAAGCTGCCACTGCCCTGTCCTTGAGGCTGGCAGCAGCCGAGGCACAGCCCTGGGTGCTCAGTTCCTGGGGCTCAGCCAGGCTGTAGGGTGACCCTGGAGCAAGAGATGCCCATGGGCACGGGGCAGAGCTCCTGGGGAGTGCTTACCTGGGCAAGGGAAGCAGAACTCTTGCTCCTGGAAAGCAGCCGTTGCTGTTCCTTGTCTCAGCACTCCAATGCCAGCCAGGGAGCAGCACTGAGCTGGCACGGGGGGGGAGCAGAGATGCCTGCCGAGGTGATTTTTTGCCACTCTGAATGCCCACAAAGTGTCTCAGCTCTGCAGTGGCCACCCCAGGGAGTCCTGGCCACTGAGCACAGAGGGCAGCAAGGCCAGTCCCCAAACGACAGCAAACCCCACAGCAAACACTGTGTCTGCTGGCCCCAGTGCCACTCCCAGCCACAGTCCCTCCGTGCCTGGCATACTGGGCAGCCTGCAGGAGTGCTGGCAGCCAGGGATTCCTGGGGAGGAGCTGCTGTCACCCTGACAGCCCCAGGCAGCACCCACCACCAGAACACAGCCAAGAGCAGACCCAAGAGCTGACACCAGGACTCTTTTAATGCAATTGCTCCTAAAATGCAGTTTTAGAATGACTTGGAACGGTCAGCAACGAGAAACAAGGGATGCCCTGGAGTTCTGAACTGAGTGTGAGTCATTCCTGTCCCCAACACCCCCCAGACACTGGCCTGCTGACATGGCTCTCTAAGTGCTCCCGGGGTGACTAGCCATCCCTCAGGGTCACACACGGCATCCAAAGGAGCTCCCCCGGGCCAGGAAAGGGGCAGGGTGAGCCATCCAGGCCCAGATAACCCAATGTCCATCCAGAGAAGCTAAAGGAAGAGCAGCACACACAGCAGCTCATTCCCTCTCACCTTACACTCAGGCACTGACCCACACAGGTACCAGTTCCCCCTGACCTCTGTGGGGCTGTGCCTTCATGCTACGTAAAGTGATTTGGGACCTGAACATATGACTGTGCTTCCTGGCCCTGGGTGGCAGAAGAAGCTAATTTTTCAATCTCTTGCTTTTTGTTATCTCATCTACCTTGTGTGTTTATGCTGCCAGTCCCACAGGCTGCCCCAGCTCACCAGGCAGGTAACAGGGGAAAAGTGGCTGCAGCCTGACCCTCTGCGGGAGCAAACCCAGGCACCACCTCCACACCACACAGCATTTACACACCCCACAGCAGCACAGAGTCTGAAAGGCATTTAGCACCTCCCAGGCCTCAGCCTGAGCTGGTTCCCACTCTGACTTGCCATGCAGCCCTGGGCTGTGCCCGCCCTGCAACACCAATGCCATTTTAGCCACTTTCCTATTCTCCATGCAAAGTATTTCCTCTGCTCCACTGCAGTTTGACATCCTCCTTCCCCTGAGGGGGGAGTGGGGAGGCTGCTGGGGAAGAGACACTGTGGAACGGCCACAGGGACTCCCAGATCTTCTCTGGTGCCACAGCTCCCTGACCAAAGCAGCCCCAACTGGTACCAACACTCCAACAGCTCCTCCAGACACCCTTTGGATGGAGCTTGCATTTACCAGTCACTTCAGAATCCAAGGCAGGAAGCCAGTCTGGTCTACAAAAACACTACACCTTATCTCCAGTGGATTTTAAACACCTCATTTAGAGAGGGACAGGGTTTAGCAGGGAATCAGGGGGTTCTGGTAGCTTGGTCTCCAGTTCTGCCATCAAACAGCAATCCAAGTGGGATCAGACTGGAGCTCTCCTGGAGTCTGAACAGCTGTTCTCACACAACCCTGGGCACAACTGGAAACTGAGCACAGGAAACCCCCAGGCAGTAGGAAAAGGACATCAGCTGATGAAAAAGCTTCAGAATGAACCTGGGAAATAAACACCAACCTGACAATCATCTTCTACAGAGGGTGCAAGTGACAGTAGAAGAATAAAACAACATCTGAAACAGTCAGTGAGTCAGTCTGAGTGCGCAGGGCACGAGATCCCTATGGACCTGTGAGGAAAGCTAACAGCCAAGCCCAGCTGGTCCCTCCAGTCCCCAGGGAGATGGGGCTGTGCTTCACTCCTCCCCAGTTGGAAGGTTGTCCTCGATCCTCCTGATGAACTTCATCCGTATTTCCGTGACGCTGTCACCCTTCAGCGTGTCCTGCACGAACTTCACATCCACAGCCATCTGCACCTGGGGTGGGAGGAGAGGAGCTGGGACCCACCTGACACAGCAGCTTCTCCAGGGACCCAGTGACCCTGGAGCACCAGCTGAAGGGCTCTGAGGGCAGGACATGACAGACAGGGCTGTACAGACTCCTAAATTTCAGACACTCCTAAAGTGGAGACTCCTCCTGTTCTCTTGTGCTGGTCAATCCCCAACCAGGACTCACAGCAATTAGAGTGAGGATTTTGGAGCTTCACATAAATTTAGGGAGGTACAAGTGGGTCATGAGCTGAAGGGACTCAGGCTGCACCTCTGGGCCTCACAGCTGACACACACAACAGCAGCACAGCTCCTGCAGCTCTGCTCTTCTGGGAATCATTTTAACTCCAAAGCAAACCCAGAAGTCCTGAACACAGACCAGGATTCATGTGATTCCTGGCTATCCACACACCTATCCCATGGGAAGAGAAATATGGCTCACCATTTCCAGGGCACCCCGCAGCACCCCACAGAGCAGGTTGGAGTAGATGAGGGTTGAGTGGTTGTCAGGGAGCTCCACAAAGTCCACCAAGGGGTTGTTCTCCAAGATCAGGGAGAACTCGTCACCCCCAGGGCTCCAGTTGGTGATGCTTGGAGTGATTCCAAGGTACATCTTGAATGCAATCTGTTGTGTCAAAGACAGGGGGAACAGGAGCAGGTGAAGTCACAGCACAGCTTTAGCTTTGTGAGATTACTGAAGGGGGTTGAAAACACCTCTCCTTTCCCCAGGTTCCACCAGCCACTGGTAGTTGGGCTAAATCTCTTTTTCCTCCCCAAAATCTCAGTCAAACTCTCAGGACAATCCCATGGGTAGCAAATATTCCACCACAAACCTGTCAAAGCTGTGCCTGGACTTTACCTTTGCAATCACATCTGCAGTCTCACGGAAATCATGGCACCTCCCAACGTTGGAACGAGCCAGGAAGTCCTCAATGAGCCGAACCCCAATGTTGTACCCCCTGGGAAGGAACCAGAGCAACAGCTTTAGGGAGACAACAGGTACTGATAAAAGGAGACAGTGGAGGAGAATTAAACCTGAGAAATGTCAGTATGAAATCAAACCAGTCTGGCAGGATTTCATTCCCAGAGCAGCCACATGGAGGTGCCTGCTGTGATCCTGGATCCCACATGGATGTGTCCCCACTCACATTTTGTCCAGCTGCTTGTTGACGTCGTCATCGTTCTCGTAGTCCTTGCAGAGCTGAGTGACCAGAGCTCCGTAGGTCAGCGTGAACAGCTCCGAGTTCTGTGAGAGAGGAAAGGGCATCACACACAGGTCCTGCCCAGCTGGGCACAGAGTGGGCAGCACACACTGCTGGGCCAGAGGAACCTGGTGCCTAACCAGGGCTGATCCCAACTCTGGCAACAGCAGGGCTTGGAGCAACCTGGGCTAGTGGGAGTGTCCCTGCCCACGGCAGGGCTGGGACTGGATGGGCTCTCAGGTCCCTTCCAAACCAGTCTGGGATTCTGGGAGGGAGAGACAGCACCTCCTGGATGGCTGGAGGTGCCTGACTTTACCTCAGCCACGACCTAGAGGTGAGCTCTGGCTCAAACTTCTGTCTCATTAACACATTGCAAACAGGTAGTGCTCGTTGGGCTCCAGTTCTGCTCCTTCCACAGGCCAAAAATGCTGTTCCAGTCAGGGACTTATTACACTCTGTACCAAGAAAAGAGACTCAGCTGGTCCCTAGACAGTTCTCTGGGCACAGAAATTGCTTCATGGATTAAAATCAGCTCCTCAGACCCAGAGGAGGATCAGCGAGGAGGATCCCGGAGGAGGATCCCAGGCCAGCTCAGCACACAGGTGCTGTGCACACTCACTTTGTGCCTGGCCAGGACTCAAGTCACTCAGGTTTTCTTTGCAGCTGTCAGATTTGCAGAAAATTTGAGGGAAAAGTTCTCCTCTCTCAGCCACCACCTTCAATCCTCACCCTGAACTGATGTCACAGAGCATTTTTTGGGAGCCACTGAGCCAGACCAGTGACTAACACAGTCACTACAGGCTGAAGAGCAAAACCCTCCAAAAGAAGTGTTTTGGGGAACAAACAAACCACAGCACTGATTCCTGC